ACAGCCGCTCACTTGTTGACGCCTGCTAGTAGGGGAAGGGTAGGAGGGAGAACGAGGGGAGTACTAGTAAAATAGGGTAGAGCGGAACCACATCAACAAATCGTGCAGGCCTCGGGGTCAAGGACAGGTGAGATACCTGGAAGAATCTCTTCAGCTTCCCCTGCATGGTAGAGGTCGACCATCATCCCAAACCACTCCAGACATTGGGCCTTCCGTGGAGCACGATCCCACCCCTTTGGCCACTGGTCCGCACAAAACAGCATCGAACCACTCAGCTGCTTCAAGTCCTCCAGCCGCTCGTCCACCATGCCTTCGGCCAGCGCCGTGCACGCCATGATACAATCGTCGTGCTTGCCCTCACCCGGGTAGCCATCCAATGGCTCCTCATGCAGGTCGAAGCCGAATCGACTCGGGCGCCCATCGGGGACCGTGACGGGTGAGGGCAAGCACGAGCAGGACTTCAACGGGGACCCGAAATCTTGGGATCTCCTTAAAGCCCAAAAAAAAAAAAAAAAAAAAACCAGGATCGTGACGGGTGAGGAAGGCCGTGAGCAGGTCTTTCGGGTCCCCATTGAAGTTGTCACCGCAGCCGATGTAGCGGCTTTTGAGGAGGGACGTCACGCGGGAGACCGACGCGTGGATCGTTGACATGTCCAGCTGCGGGTAGGGGTTTGAGAATACAGGTAAGACAACAATGGTGCGTCAGTAGCGGTTTAGGAGCACCATATAACGAAACTTACCTCGTGGGTCTGGAAAGTCTTGTTGAGAATGTTCATCTGCTCAAGAACATCAGCAAGAAACATGAGCACAAACCAGAACCTATAGCTCGTGACAATCTTGTAAAACGGTCGTCGGCAAACTCGGACAGCATGACGACGATGGCTGTCAAGACCTTCACCAGCCGTCGGATGGCCTCACCGCGTAAGAGCCATCTGACTTGGTGTATACACTGCAGCTCCAAGCACGTCGAGAAGAAGACGTCTTGGAGGTCGAGGAAGCGCTGGTGCCACGGTCCAGAGCGACCAAGGAACTCGGCCAGCTCCTTAATGACATCATCGATGATCTTGAAGAACGGCATGTCCTCCACCGCCACCTTAGCTGCCAGCGCCTCTCTGCACATGGAAGAGAACACGGGGAGAAACTGAACAAACCAGCATGAGTGACAGCTAGTATTGTCCCAAATCAGCATCTGCGCAAAGTGTTGGACACTCAATAATGCAAAAATGGATACTTATTGGTGAGCGATGCAGTGACAGGAGACCAAGTGAGGGGTACGCATCCGGAGTCGAGTCACCAGGCCGGCTTTCGAGCCCATCATCACCACCGCCCCGTCTGTGCTGATGCCCGAGATGCGGCGGAGATCGACACCGATTGCCTGCAGGTGGGAGAGCAGCAGAGCGAGCAGAGAAGAGGCGTCCGCCTTGTCAACGCTGAGCAGCGCCAGGTACTCGGTGACGATGCGGAGGTCCCGGATGAAAGTGCAGAAGACTATCATGTGCTTTCCTCTGCAACGGTCCGTGCTCTCGTCAAGGCTAAGTCCGATGAACGGACTTCACAGGAGGTGCTCCAGCTGGGTGGTGTGTAGCCAGGTCGCGGTGAATTGCGTGAACTCCCTGAAATCGTACCTGCGCCTAATAACATAATAAATTTCGTCGTGAGTGGTTTATAAGGATCGAAGGTAAGAATAAGAATCTTAGGAATCTAAAGGGATTTAGGGCTTACAAGTTCATGTACGTCCCGTAACCACCCTCGGGGAAGTTCTTGAACTTCTGCGATGCAAGGTGGTTGGTGATCGTGACTCATGTGTCCATGGTTTTGTTGGTCTAGCAGCAGGTGTACAGCAGGTTGAGAAGCGCGGTCACTCGCTCCCTCTCCAAATCCGCGGCGTGCGGGTTCTGATCGATTCGCGTTTGGGTAGTAGCATCCTGCAGCATAACGTTTTGCTTCCCAAATGCGAGGCGGTGCTTTCCGGTACCAGCGTGCCTATTGAACGCTTGTGTTTGTGCATCTGTGATTCCTGGCCCACGACAACCAGTCCTTCCAGAGAGCCCTACATGCTCCAGACAGATGGTACACTTAAAGGCAGGGTGCCCATCGTTAGTTTTACACAAAACGAGCCAGGGAAACTACTCCTGCCACCTCGACTTGTAACGGGAATGAGCCGCAGCGTAAAGCTCGGAAGGACTCAGAGACTTCCTGGAGGTTGAAGGTGTCTCATCTTCAGACGGCTCTTCATCGACATCAGGAGGTATCGACGCCGGCAGCTCGACAGTTCCCGAATTCGGCTTCGCGAACGGTAACTTGGCCTCACGGTAGCGACCAAGGCGCTTGGGAGTAGTCGTCGCAGTAGCAGGGCGCTCGACGACGGCTGGTGCCGATGGATCGGGCCTAAGACTCTGCTCAGGAAGAACGAATACATCGGAAACTGAGTCGGCTACTTCCTTTCTTGCAGGTTCCTGTTCTCTAGGCGCATCATCGGCTCTAATCGGGATGCGAGTGAGGCTTGACAGTGTTGAGAGGAGCAAGTCGAGCCCCGTGCACAGGTCTACATGAGGAATGCTACCATTATCGCCTTCTGGATCACCGTCGCTAGGTGCTGCCATCGTGCGATGGCAACGGTAAGAAAATCAGTCACAACCGTGGAGGAGAAACGAAATGAGGGGGGTTGGAAGCACTTGACTTGAACAAGGCAGCAGGTGTGGCAGCACATCATCGATTGAAGAGATAGATGAAGATGATGGGGTCTCTTGAGGTTTGTGGAGGGCACGCGGCTCGCAATGGAGTTCTGCATCCATGGATGTGGTTCACGAAGCGGGTGGGTAGCGGTCAGGGCCCAAAATTGGTTTTAGGCTACCCTTAGGAATCAGCGTACCAGAAAAAAATTGCCCTGACAAAAAGGGTTCAAACTAGCATACCCTGACAAAATCAGGGTGTTTTGGGAAAAAACGTCAATACCCTGATGCTGTCAGGGTGTTTTCTTCTACACCCTGATTTTCCTTGTCAACATTTTCTTTGGGAGGGAGCATCGAGAGAGACAGATAGGGAACAATGACACCGAGAGAAACTAGTAACTTTTTCGCACACAAGTGCTGCTACTGTAGGTGGCATGGTTTCTAGGCAAGTAACTTTTTGGCAAAGAATGTAATCTTTCGTGCACACGTCAGATCAGCTTTTTGGCGTGTGCTGCTCAAGCATGCTTTGCTCGCACTGCCACAACTTTGTGCTGACAGGGTGTGGGAGAATGGGGAAGAATGTATTTGTACAAGGAGGACTTAGCCGATTCTTTAGGGCTTGGGAAAGGGGGAGAGGAGGGGGGGGGGGGGGGTGTAGGAGGATAGTCTCTGGTTGTGAGGACTTCGGCGAAATATTCTGAGTTGCGGGGCGCGTAGGAGGAATGTATCTGGCTTTGAGGACTTAGCCAAATTTCTGAGACCTCGTGGTTTGCGGGATGCGCAGGAAGAATGCCCCTGGCTGGGGAGGACTTAGCCGAAAATCTGGCCTGTGGGCTGACGGATTTCCCGGAGGGCGGGGCTACTTGGATGATTCTCCCGCATGGAAGATTCGCCAGTTGTAGAATCCTGAGGGGTCAGAGTTTTCTGTTCCAGGGCGTTTTTCGACGCACCCTGATCGGTCAGGGTAAAACGACAAGCACCCTTACTACAGCACGGTAAAACCTTTCGCTACACTTTTTGAGAAAGGGTTAGAAAACAAATGCCCTCACAAAATCAGAGGAAACCTAAAAAAGCGGTCGCTGGTAAGCGTAATCAGCGTAAAACACCCTTGAAATTTGGGCCCTGGTAGAGGTCTACTGCCGTGCTGGTGGGCCAACTGTCTAACATTAGACCTGGTCTATTGGCTGCTGTGGCTGTAATTTGGCGATGAGCCAATCCAAACCCTGCAGCTACCCTGTGCTGGAGACAGCAGTGGCTAGCTACTTTCGAACAGCCAATGAGAACCCGCCGAGCACTATGTGCTGGATGAAGAATGGCAGAATATTCTCCAGCGGGGCTGAAATCTGGTCGGTCACACTCAAGTCGGCGTGATTGACGGGGAGGGTGGGGGGGGATTCATGGAAATCAGGGGATGGGGGGGTTGGGGCTGGGAATCCGCTATTAGAAGAATCAGGGTCCGGCTCCGATACGACGCTGGAAAAACAGGCCACACTACACTAGGCACGCTGATCGATCAGAGTTCACTCTTAAAAAAACCCTGAAATTTCAGGCCTCTGTCTTAAAAATATCCTCTCATCAGGGTCACCCCCCAAAAAAGCCCTGAGTTTACCCTGAATCAGGGTAAAAAGCCTGCAATCTGAGGCCCTGGTTGGGCCCTTAGCCAAATTTACGGCCCGTTGCGTGCCTTGGGGGGCTTTGTGTGAGGGCGAGTCAGATTCCCCTCTTCCGCCCCTGCAATCTTGTTCGGGTAACCAATAAGATTGGTCGGTGACGTTCCATCAAAAGACTTTCCAATCTGAATCGCGCCAAAGCGCACGAAAAAAGTACAGCGGAGAATTTTAAGGTAACCCTGATTGCTAAGCGAGAGTGTTTCAAGGAACCCTGAAAATTCAGTCAAGTTTTGGGGGAGGCCCTGAAAAATCAGACTAAACAGGGGGGGGGACCCTGCCTGAGCAATCAGGGTGCCTTGAAACCAATCTTAGGCCCTGGTTTACCATTTCTGTAAAAAAAACCAGAGCCATGTTCTCTCAACTGTGGCACAGGACAATGATTTGTGCAGTAGTGCTAGTGCGCGCTTGAGCCTCGGGCATGTTTGAGAGCGAGACCGAGGCAGAGCTCCTACTCAATCATCCGCCACTTCTCTGACACCGAATGCATGAGGCTCTTGGAAGCAGACGACACTCCACTAGTTCCCTCGGACCACTCGCTCCTCCCAAACGTGTCCGTGCTGCTGCCCTTGCCACCCAAGTGCCTCCCCTCCAAGTGCAGGCTGGGTTCAGCCACGGAGGACTGTCCGTCGGAGGCGCAATAGAGCTCTAGCAGGCGGTGCAGGCGTCGCGCGACGTCCTTCATGTGGGGGCGGCGGGAGGCGGGCATCTTGAGGCAGTCGAGAGCGATGTCTGCCAGCTCCACCACCGCCTCGTCCGGCGCCTCCAGACTCGCGTCTAAAGACAAGAAGGAAATTCTCCATAGAAGTAGTTGTTGCGGAGAAACCTGGAGTGAGGGTGCGATCGAGAAGAATGGCCATTTGAAAAAAAAACATCATTGCATCACTGTGTTTTCCAAATAACAAGGCAGGGAAATTACGGCTGGATAGGGGGCTGTAAGATGGACAGCAGAAGTGATGCTCTGCTAAGCCAATACATGGTGTTTAGATCGGCGAGATCGCATATGGAAGGAGGGAGCTTGCCCGTAAGCTGGTTGTCGTACACAGACCTGCCGGCATGCAACAGAAAGTTACAAGAGTTTTGAAGTGGGGAAGAGCAAATGCAGTTTTGCATCTGAGTGGAAATCACTATAGGAAAAAAAGAGGAAAATCGTTCAGTTTAGCTTGTGCCATTGCTGAGCATTGAAGGACAAGGTTAGATTGCATGTTCTGCATTTTCTCTGACCGCACTGGGAATTCATACAGATACGCATGGTAGTACGTCTCACTGCCAAGGCTGAAATTAGGGTTGAGCAAAATACCCGCGCGGGACGGGTACTCGGACCTGGATCCGCTTTTTGGGCGGATCGGGTATCTGGCTTCCAGGAAATTACCCAGCGGGTGGGGTCCAGTACCCAGGCGGGTATTTGCTATCAGTTACCCGAAATGTTACCCGACATGTCGGGTGACAGGTATCCGTCGGGTTGGGTATTTGATACCCGACTTCGGGTATCAATCAAAAAGCGGATCGGGTATACCTGACCCGAAATAGGGTCGCGCTGCTACCCGTCGGCAGCAGCGCGACCAAATGTGTTAGGGTTGAAATTTCCAACCCTGCTCGCCAGATCTAGTTTTGATCTAGCCTAAGCTAACATCTTCCACCTCCTAATCTAACCCTCTTTAGCATCACACCCACCCGACCCGCAGGTAGGGTTTCTCAAAACGCGACTCTCAAATGAGAGTCGCGTTTTCTGGGGGTCGATTTTCGACCACCCAACTCCCTCCCTTTCACCGCACTGAACTCCTCCCCGTCTACAAACTCCAATTTCCAACCAAACTCCCTCCCTTTCACCGCACTGAACTCATCCCCGTCTACAAACTCCAATTTCCAACCAAACTCCCTCCCTTTCACTGCACTGAACTCTTCCCCGTCTACAAACTCCAATTTCCAACCAAACTCCCTCCCTTTCACTCCACTGAACTCCTCCATGTTTACAAACTCCAACATTACCAACCAAACTCCCTCCCTTTCACCGCACTGAACTCGTCCCCGTCTACACACTCCAATTTCCAACCAAACTCCCTCCCTTTCACCGCGCTGAACTCCTACCCATCTACAAGTTCCAACCTTTTCTTCAACCTCACCCAACTTTCTCCCTTTCACCGCACTTAACTCCCCATCTACAAACTCCAACTTCTCCTAAAAAATGCTCCACTCGTCCCCCCTCACCTCCCAAATCGTTTTGCCGCAAATCCTAAATCACAGCGCGACTTACGCCCATGTCTAAATGGAACACCCAACCTCGGGTATTATTTACCCGACCGGGTCGGGTACCCGTTACCCGACGTGTCGGGTAACGTTTCGGGTAACGGGTATCGAATACCCGCCCAGGTAACTCGGACCTGACCCATCGGGTAATAATCCAGAGAATCCGGATACCCGACCAGCCCAAAAAGCGGATCCAGGTCCCGGGTAGGCTTGAGCATGAACCCGACCCAGCCCGACCCGACCCGACTTTGCCCTACCCGATGCCGGGTTCGGGTCGGGTCGGATCGGGTCAAGTCGGGTCGGAGCTCGGGAAATGTCAACCCGACCCGGGTTTAATAGGTCGGGTACTACCTGACCCGATTTCGGGTCGGGTCGGGACGGGTTGGCATAGGGGAAGGGACGGGTTGGCATTGGGGCAGGGACGGGTAATAAGCCGACCCGACGGGTCAGGTTTTGTCGGTCGGGTCAGGTCGGGTCGGGTTGACCCTCCGCAAATGTCAATCCGACCCGTCAAAAAGTCGGGTTCGGGTCGGGTTACCCGACCCGACCCGACTCGTTGCTCAAGCCTAGTCCCATGTACCCGACCCGGGCGGGTATTTTTCTCAAGCCTAGCTACTAGGCTCCAGATTCCGCCTTGCGCGCAACATGCTCATGCAGGGCAATGCCGGGCACGAACGCCGGCTGCAAGAGATTCTCGGCAACAGGGCGGCGGGGAAGGTGTCCCTCACCACGGAAATCTGGTCCAGTCTGGCGGAGAACGCGTTCCTCGCTGTCACGGCGCACCGGATCATGACGGATTTCCAGCTGCGCCAGGCTCATGGAGTTTGAGGAGATCAAGGGGTCGCACATAGGGGTCCTGATTGCGGAGACCTTGGAGAAGGTCATAGCGGAGTGCGGGCTGTGCGACCACGTGCTCAGCATTACGACGGATAATGCCGAGAAAAACATCAAGGCGCTCAAGATCCTGACTGGCGACGAGAACACCGAGGGAGCGCTCGACCCTCCCGTGCTGGTCGCCTGCTTCTTCTTCAGGTACGTAGTGGAACCGTCTTGTGCTTGCCCCTTTGAGAACCACTGTCATCCATTGTGTTGCATCATCAAGCAATCTCTCTAAGCCCGGTCTTTTGTCGCCTCCTCACATTTCCCCCTCTACCCTTGCTCACGATTCTCTAGGTGTCTCACTTCGCGGTTCAGAAAGCGCTGGGTGTTCCAGCCGTGGCAGAGCCTCTCAAGCAGATGAGGGAGATCGCCTCGTTCATTGCGTGGAGCACCACAGGCTCGGACAGCTTCGTGGACGAGCAGCTGCGGCTGGCGAACCAGGGGCCAGGACGGTCGCTTTCTCCGCCTCATCAGCGACACCCCCACTTGCTGGGGGTCGCCCTATGAGATGGTGGGGCGGTTCCTGGAGCTGTAGTCCCCCCTCTTGCTTTACTTCTCACGGCTCGAGTTATGGTTGGAATGCATTTGGTTTACATAGATGACGCGTGCCTCTCCCCCTCGCTCCGTTCTAGACACCCCCAAAAAGCCCATGCACTCACTCCTCTCTGCACCTAAGCCTTCTCATTTGCCACTTCCCATGCCTCCCCCCTCCCATCCCACAGTCGACGCGGGATAAGCGGACACAGGAGCAGGCCTCGCGTGTCCGCCTTGCGGACGCCCACTGGGACGCCCTGAGGGTGTTGGTGGTGTTCCTCAAGCCGTTCCATGACATCACTACTACGGCAGAGGGGTCGTTGTACCCCACTTCCGCAAGAGTGGAGCCGTAGTATTACCTGCTCATGGACGGGATTGAGCGCCTCTACCACGATCCAGGGACTTGGGAGCTGTGTCGGTTCATGGCAGAGGCGGCTCTAAAGGTGCTGAAAAAGTATTTGCACAACATCAGCGAGGAGCTCGCAGTGGCCACATTCTTGGACCCGAGGTTTAAGCAGGCCTACTTCCAGCTAGAGCGATGGGAGGGAGCCAATGAGCAGCTAGCGGGGGCAGCTAGTGGGGCGCGTATGGCGGTGCGCGACGGGAAGGAGGAGGATGTGTTGGCGTGGGTCAGGAAACGCTTGAAGTCGTACCTGGACAAGCAGCGCAGGCGTGTGGTGGAAGGGGGGCAAGAGGGGACGAGCTCAGGGGGCATGCAGGCCAGGACGATAGGAGTGGTAGGGGGACAGGGAGGGGGACGGGGTAGTGGAGGGGGGTGCTTGTTTGACATGCTGGGCACGCAAATGGCCGAGGCGGAGGTGAGGGCGGGGATGACCGCGCTGGACGAGGTCGACAGGTACCTCCACGAGACGCGTCCGAACATGGACGAGTGCCCGCTCGCCTAGTGACACAGCTGCTCGTCGTGCTCGGGGCTGCAAGCGATGGCACGAAACTACCTTGCCATCCCTGCAACCTCGACACCTTGCGAGCCGGTGTCCAGCCAGGGGCGGAAAGTCGTCACCTGGCAGCGCCACCGTTTGAGCACTGCCCAGGTGCGTGCATCCATGACTATCAAATCATGGATGGCACAGAGCACCAATGGCGGCCTTTGGTGGTGTCGCTGGATCGGGCCATGGGGGGGCTGTGCCTTGAGGGTGACGATGAGGGGTTGTGAGGAGTGGGGTCAGGATACAGTACCATGCATGGATTTTGCTATCTTATCCATTCTAATTCTTGTGCCATGCGTAGACCCAGCATTGAGCCATAGGGCCATGCAGACATGGTTTTCTCATTGTTTGTTGATTGTGTCCAGCAGTTGAAATTAGGCATGAGCACAGGGTCGAGTCGGGTCGGGTAACCCGACCCGAACCCGACTTTTAGACGGGTCCAGTCAATTTTCCTGTCGGGAGAACCTAACCCGTCAGGTTTGCTTTCCCGTCGCTTGACCCGACCCAACTTCAGGTAATTGACGTCGGGTTGACCCGACCCGAAATCGGGTCGCGCGTCGACCCGACGTGACCTGCGCGATTTGCGGGCATATCTCAATTTTTTTACTAAAGGGTCCAAATTTGAAACAGAAACCTCACTCTCCTATTTCGACCTCGACTTTCCCTTACTCTTGCCTAGCAACAATGGATTTCTAACACTTGAATATTAAAGCGAGGATCTCAAGAAGCAAAAACACAAACCCTAAGGTTTTGGTTTCGGGGGGTCGCGAAATTTGCGAGGTATTGTGAGGGGTTTTGGAGGGCCACTGTTACTTCTTCGCCCATTTCGCCAACCCGAAAGCAAACCTTTTGGACTTGGTTTCGCGCTTCTTGAGATTCTCGCTTTAAGCTGCAGCTGTTCCTCATCTTTCTTAGGCATAGAGTAAAGACATTTGCCCTAACCAACTTCGATTTCTTAAGGAAACAGCCCGCATTTCACTGCTTTCAGGTTTTCAGAAACATGACTTAAAAGGAGAGGGAAAGATTGCCTTCAGCAACCAGGGAAGCTTTCCTACTATAATGCGACGTGCATTCGCAGCCTTTACCAGTCATTTTCCGGAATTGGGCACATTCGCCCGTGGAATCTACATGCAGATTCCATATCTAGGGTTTCCATAGGTTGCTAAAGCGGGCAGAACTAGGGGAGGGCCTAGATTGTGGGAGTCGGTGGTTTACAAGACCGCGAATGGAATGCAGAGTCAGCGGTGGCGGTCAGGGCAGAAGCGATGGTGGGGATGGCGGGTTTAGGCCGCAGACCGGCGTCGGTACAGACCGGCGTTGAGAGTTCGCCGGTGCTCGGGATATCACTTGCCCTCGTGCCCGTCGTCGGCGCGCCACAGAGCTTCACCCTTGGCTCCATCAATGCCAACAACGCGTGGGATGGCACGCGGCATTGGGATTGGGGTGGGAGAGGAACCGGATTCCGGACCCCGCCGTAGGGGGGAAGGGGGAACGGCGTGACAATGACCCGGATTATGGCCCTGGAGCGGAGGAGATGTGGGCATGCGAGTCCGGGGACGATGGCCAGCGCCCCGGAAAGAAGGGGAGTGGGAGGAAGAGTGGGAAGGGTGGCTTGGGAAAGGGGCGGGTGCTGACTTAGGGGCCATGGACACACGCGCTGCTGCTGGTGGGGGGGAGGGCAGCGGGGAGCCAAGAGTGGCAAGGGGTGTGGAGGAGGAGGCAGAGGCCATGTAGACGGGGGCCGGACAGGGTGTGCGCAGTGGAGAAAGGGGTAGGCAAGGGGCAAGCATAGTAAGGGGAAGGGGAAAGCACGGGCTGGATCTGAGGGGGGGACTGCGGGGGCTGGTGTGTGTCGCACACCTCCCTGTTCTCCGGCGGCTCTCCCCATGGGCCTCTAGCTCAGCTTGTCAACTGGTTTCCCTAGCCTTCGCTTTTATGTGATGATCTCTGGCTTCCCAGGCTCTTGCCCCCTCACGGCCAGACTAGCGTCCCCGCCACCCAGCCGTGAACGCCCAGCTCTGGCGACGTTAGTGACATGATCTTTTGCCATCCGGCCTCGACCGTCCTGCAGCAGTAGGAACCCTGATTCCTTCTTACCCCGCACCATCCAGTGCTGCCTGCTCAGCCCGTATTCCAATGTGTTCCGCCGTGGTTCCCGCAGATACACCTCGTCCTCGATCTGCACAGTGCGGTCCTCCGAGCGCTGACCGGTGTCTCCCTGCTTGCGCTGTCTGTAGCGTCGTGCATCCCTTAGTTGTGCGACCTCCGGGTTATCGAGAGCAGCGGGCAGAGCGCTCCTCAGGTAACTAGCTCGTACTGCTGCCACTGCTGCCCACTTACGAGGGTCTTCCGTATCCACTGCTTCGAGCAGCACTCGCGGAGCATCCACCGGAAGCACGGGTTCCTTCCCGTAGAGCAGGTAATAGGGAGAGTAGTCTCGGAGTCCCTGCTGTTTGCTAAAGCGGTAGCCAGCTGCTACCCACGGCAGGTAACGATCCCACTCCCTCCGCTCCTCCTCCTCACAGTACTTCCTGAGTCCTTGCTTCAGTGTCTGCACCATTCGCTCCGTTAAGCCATCTGCCTGGGGGTGATAACGCGACGTACGCCGGTGCATGATGCCCACTTCCTGCAGGAGTGCATCGAACTCCCCGGCGAACTCGCTTCCCTGGTCTGTCAGTACTTCCCCGCATGCTCCGAACCTAGTTAAGACTTGCTGGACGAAGGCCTCAGCCACCCCTGCGGCCGTCTTCCGAGTCAGCGCTGCCACCTCTATCCACTTGCTAGTATGCTCTATCATGACTAGTATGTACTGCTTGCCTCTTCGGGACAAGGGCAGCTCCCCCGCGATATCCAGTGACCATCGGAAACCAATAGCCCCGATGGGCAGGGACTGCAGCTCAGTCTTCGTTTTCTCCAATCTGGCCTTGCTCCGCCTGCATGGTTCGCAATTCTCCACGACCTCCTTCACCCCCTTCCGCATGCCCGCCCACCAATACATGGGCTGTAGCAGCTGCACCGTCCTTTCTGTAGCGTAGTGTCCCAGGCGCGTGTGTACTTTCAGAATCAGGGCCTCCCGTTCTTCTGGCTTGGGGATTATCCTCCAGCCATCATGTGTCACCAATTGCAGCTGATCTTCTTGCCATCTGTAGTGTATCCCTCTGGCTCGGACCTTCTCGGGCACCTCCTCTCCCTCGGGCCCCCTTCCTTGTACCCAGTGCAGCACTGGCAGGTCCTCCCATACTTCTCGACATCCCTTCTCCCTCTCTGTACGCCTACTCCAGCCCTCCCTCTCGGCTGCCACAGCCAGGCAGGTAAGTTCTGTCTCTGCACTGCTGATGGTTGACAGCTGCGCCGCTGGGCCCTGCCTGGACAGCCCATCCACGTGCTGGAGGGTCTTCCCCAGCCTATGCTTAACATCGAACTCGAACTCCTGCAGCCTCATAGCCCATCTCGCATTCCGCCCCTTCAGCGTCTGGTTCGTCATCAGCCACATCAAAGGTTGGTGATCGGTGACCAGCGTAAATCTCCTTCCTTGCAAGTATGGCCTGAAGAGCTCCACAGCCCACACCGCTGCTAGCCCCTCTCCCTTGTAGGAGCTGTAATTTCCTTCCGCTGGACTGCAAGACCGACTGGCGTACGCTACTACTCTCTCCAGCCCCTCTTCCTCCTGGCACAGGACAGCCCCGATCCCACTGCTGCTCCAGTCAATATACAGTGTGAAGGGCTTCTCTGGGTTGGGCAATTTCAGCATGGGCGCTGACTTCACTGCTTCCTTTAAAGTCCTCCATGCGCCTTCTTGCTCTTCTCCCCACTTCCAGGGCTCGTCCTCTCGCAAGAGTCGGTTTAAGGCCCTTGCCATCTTGCTGAAGTTCGGAACGATCTTCCGGTAGTAGTTCAAGAATCCCAGCTGCGCTCTAAGAGTGCTCCTGTCGGTAGGCGGCTTTAGTCTATCTACCACCTCTACCTTGGCCTGCTGAACTGACAGTCCACCCTCCCCCACTTGAAAACCCAGATACGCTACTGTCTTTACCCCGAAATGGCATTTTCCTGGATGACAAGTCAGGCCCGCTGCCTGAATCGCCGCCAGGGTAGCCGCCACGTCGGCCACATGCTGCTTCCCATCCTTGCTGAAGACCACTACATCGTCTATGTAGCAGATAGCCTGCGGAATTCCTCGTAGTACTAGGTCCATTACTCGCTGAAACTTCGCCGACGTGTTCTTGAGCCCAAATGGCATGTAGTTCCACTCGTACAGACGGTCAGGGCCATGGAAGGTGGTCTTCTGCTTGTCCTCCTCCTTGATTGGGATCTGATTGAATCCCTGCCTCAGGTCCAGTGTCGAGTACACCCTCCCTTCAGCCAGCTTGTCGAAGATCTCTTCAGCCATGGGCATGGGGTATCTGTCGCTCTTCGTCACGCGGTTCAGTCCTCTGTAATCGCCACACATCCTCCGTGCCAATGTTTCTCCAGTTAAGTCCTTCCTCGCTGCCACCACCGTAGCCGCTGCATAGTCGGATGTCGACTCCCTTATGAGGCCGGCCGCTAGCAGTTCGGCGCACTTAGCTTCGGCTATATCTCTGTCTCCTGGGCTCATTCTCCTCCTCCTTTGGTATACTGGCTCTGCTGACTGCAGCTCTATAGCTAACTCCGCCTTATTGCATTTGTCCAGCTCCTCCAGCGAATAGGCGAAAGCTCCCCTTGCGTTCCTTAGCACTGTCTTCAGCTCTTCCTGCTGTTCTTCCTCTAGCCCGTCGCCTATCTCCCATTCGGGTGCAGTCTCTGCCGTCAGCGTGGGCTCTTCCTCTCCGCCCGTCTCCTCTACCCCCTTTTCCTCTCCCTCTGCCGCTTGCATTGCTCGGGCTAGAAGAGCGATGCCTATGCTATTTAACCGACTTTCGGCCTGCTGGCTCTCCATCCATGCTTCTGCCTTCATACGCTGCCACACCTCAGCCACCTCCATTGCCTGTTCTGGATCCGTCTCCAGCATCTCCTCTATATCCCTCCACCTCCAGTGCATCAGCAACTGCATCCTCATGACCTCCTGTCGCTTCTGTGCTCGGTACAAGAGCCAGACCAATGCATGCTGGTCTATTGCTCCCCCCAGCGCTTCCCTGCGGGCCTCTTCAGAGATGCCTTCTGCTGCCGACGCATTCCTCATGTATCCCAAGGCCCTTTCTCTTTCTATGGCCAGGGGCTCCTCCCACTCCCCCGTCTCCAACACTTGAACCATTCCTGGCCCTGGCTCGCCGCCCCGCATACAGAATGCATAACTACTTGGGTTCGCCACCAAGGTAAGCCAAGCCTGTCGGGGTGCCCCCACTTGGTTGCAAGGGAATTGGGTCTTTATGTCAGGGGTAGTTACTGGTGCTGGTATCCTTCCCGGTTCCAGGATGTCCTGCACCAGCCGAGGCAACGGACGCTGCATCCTGCTGAGCTGGTCTCGCAGCACGGGCTCGGGTATCAGGTTCTGCCAGTAGCGCCGCACCCGATGCGTCCTGGATCTCATCTGGGTCGCATCCCAGGCCAGTGTACTCTGTTTGTAATAAGCCACGGGTTGAACAACCAAGGTTCCCACTCCCGCCACCTCTGTCTGGCCTCTCCTTTAGGGATCTAGCATTTGCTCAGGCAAGAATTCACTAGGAAACAAGCATACAGGCCTTCCCACTATGATGAGAGAACAAACAGAGTAGCTATCGACTGAAAATGCTTCCTGTTTTGTGCTACTCTTCCTAGCGTACACTCTCCTGAGCCCAACCCTTCCCTCCCAGCTGAATCTGCCGTGCGCTGTTTCGGGGTTATCTCCTCCGGTGGCAGCCCCAGGATTTCTGCCGAATATCCCTGCCCAACCTGCTGCATGCCCCCACTTCCAGCCTGTTTCTCCACTCCGCTGAAGTGTCCGGGTCCATTCGCCAGCTGCCATACTCACGTTGCCGTCATTCTGCTCCCCCCCCCCCAGCTCGCGCATCACTGTATACCATGCACAATTGGGATAACCTATGTACAGTATATTTACACTTTTACAACTCACCTTATAGCCTCTCGCGCTGTCCCATGAAACTCTGTAACCCTATTATAGATGTTCATGCGACATGTGACGCGCCCTAAGCGTGCTAGAGAGGGAAGGGTGGAGGAGGAGGAGGAGGAGGAGGAGGAGGAGGAGGAGGAGGAGGAGGAGGACGAGGAGGAGGAGAGGAGGAGGAGGAGGAGGAGGAGGAGGAGGAGGAGGAGGAGGAGGAGGAGGAGGAGGAGGAGGAGGAGGAGGAGGAGGAGGAGGAGGAGGAGGAGGGCACCGAGGGCAGGATCTCGGGCCTCATGCAGGGTATGTTCGATGTGACTGACAACCCTCTTAAGCGTGCATGTCGGCGCTGCGAGCAGACGGTTTACTGGGCAGGCAGCAGCACGGGCAGTGCTTGGAAGCATGCATATCACCACCCCCACCTCCAGATCTGATAACGTCTGTTCACAGATCCCAAGAAGCGGCCGGGTTTTGAGTTCCAGGGGTATCCAAACGTACCACACCAGCAGGAGGCCTGGCCACATGCTGACAGCTATCCGCGGCTTCCTGCTGGTCCGGCGCCGGCGCAGGCAGAGGCTGGAGCGGGGCAGCCGAACTTACACAAGTTCATGGCACCTTGACTGTCCTTGCAGCGACTGCCACAGGCACTCGTCGAGCTATTTGCTGACGCCAACCTGGCGTATCGTCTCGTCGAGCACCCATCGGTGAGCCCTCGCATACTCGGTTTGTAAAGTTCAAAGTGCTTCTTTGAAATGAAGTGAAGATTTGTCACACCCGTGATATCAATCCGCCCAAAGCCTCATTCTGCCTAACTGCTGCTCCTTTCATTGCCCATCCCTTTTCCAGTTCCAGCGACTTTGCTCGCTGCTGAACCCAGAAGCTACGAACATGCTCGGCAACCGGTTTCGATTGGCACGCGACATGTTGACGCACGGGGATGCTGCACGCGAGTGGCTGCAGCAAGAGGTGGTGGGTGATGCGGCAGCGGGGAAGTTTTCCTTCACAACTGACATCTGGACCAGCCCCAGTAAACAGGCCTTCATGACAGTCAGGGGCCACTACATCACAGCGGACTTCAGGCTGCGGCAGGCTACTTTCGAGTTCAAGCAGCTCCACGGGTCGCATACGGGAGATCTCATTGCGGACGTGCTCGAGAAGGTCTTCATCGACTGGGGGTTGCTGGCCCACGTGTTTGGCGTGACGACAGACAGCGCCGAGAACAACGCCAAAGCTTTCAAGATCCTGGCCCGCGACAAGACGTACCCCACTGCCCGCACCGCTAACCCAGTCTTGATGAAGGGCATGCACTTCACGTATGCCACATGAAACAACGTTTTTGCCTATGCTCGAAGAGCTGCCATACACATCTCAGGGAACAAACAAGATAGGATCACTACATTCCGCTCAATCCTCCCCCGCCCGACACCTCTTGCCCCCACACTCCATCCACCCTGGCCTGCAAGGTGCATAGCGCACATTTTGAACCTGGCGGTTCAAAAGGCACTAGGAGTGGGGGTGATCGCTGACCCTTTGAAGCGTCTCAGAGACCTCACTACGCATGTCGGATGCTTTGTCACATGTACTGAACGCTTTGAAGAGGACCAGCATAGAGTGGCGGAGGACCCCAGGGGGGGGACCTTGTGACTCATGACCGACACGCCCACACGCTGGGGCTCCACCTACGAGATGCTCAGGCGTGCGATTGACCTGAAGACGGCCCTCACGCTCTACCTGTCCCGTCCTGAGGTGAGCGTGACAAGGCATGGCACGTGGCATGGCATGGCATGGCTCATGGCATGGCATAGCATGGCACATGGCATGGCATGGCATGGCATGGCACATGGCACATGGCACACGGCACATGGCACATGGCACATGGCATGGCATGGCTCATGGCATGGCTTGACACATCGCATGGCACATGGCATGGCACATCGCATGGCATGGCATGGCATGGCATAGCACATGGCACAGGGCATGGCATGGCACATGGCATGGCTTGATACATGGCATGGCACATGGCATGGCATGGCATGGCATGGCACATGAACCACCGCTCCCCTCCTCAACTCTTTCCACACCCTTCACTTTGTCTTGCCTACTGTCTTCATCAACCTAGTACCTCCAAACAGGTGCCCAACACTAACGGCAAGTTCCACTTGAGGGACGACCACTGGGAGACGCTGCTGGAAGTAGCAACTTTCCTCAAGCCGTTCCACTCCCTTACCACAGCGGCTGAGGGATCGCTGTACCCCACAGCCGCGGCGGTTGTTCCCCCCAGTACAACCACCTAATCGACAACCTCGAGACAATGTACCACAGCAGGACGACCACCCCTGTGATCAGGGACATGGCATGGGAGGTGCTCGAGGTCCTGAAGAAGTATGAGTACGGGGTGGCGAAGGAGCTCGCAGTGGCCACCCCGCTAGACCCCCACTACAAGCACTACTTCACACTTCCGCGGTGAGAGGTGGAGAACAAGGATCTGGCAGCCGACACAGCAGGCACCACTAAGGCGGTGCCAGTGTTGGACGAGGCGAGCGTCGCAACGCTGGTTCGGAAGCGGCTCCACAAGTACCTTGCTAACCAGCAGGGCTCCAGGGAGACCGCGGGGACCGAGGAAACCAGCAAGGCTACTGCAGGGAAGGGGGACAACGGCGCGGTGGGTGAGTGTGGGGGGTCGGCGGGGGCGGAGGGGGGTGATTTGGCGGACGAGCTGTTCGCCACCATGGACGCGCAGGCGGCAGCGGCGGGGGTAAAGCTGCCGGATGAGCTTGAGAGGTACCTGGGGGAGGAGAGGCTTAAGGCGGGCTGCCCCCTTAAGTTCTGGCAAAGCAGGGTAGACTTACCTGGCCTTCGGGCCATGGCTCGCGACTACCTGGCAATCCCATCCACATCCGCATCTAACGAGAGAGCGAGCGTTCAGTCAGGGGAGGAACATTGTGTCCCGGCAGCGCCACCGGTTGAGCACCGCCCAGGTGCGTGCATCCATGACGATCAAGTCATGGATGTCAGAGCACCACGGCGCACAGCTCCTGGGGCCTGCAGCTGCGCATGCACTGAAGGAGCTGTGCACCGAGGGTGAGGATTTTGGGCTGTGATAACACCTTTGGTTGAGTGGGAGGATTGAGGTTCGATGGTCGTGGGCGGTGGTTGGGTTGTGCCTTGGCTATGTGCATCACTGTGCATCCTGTGACTTGCATCCTCCACCCAATTTTTTTTTGTGTATTCGAGTCGTGTCATGCATGCTCTTTGGTTGGCACCGGTGTCTAACCTTGACGAATCCAGCATTGAGCTAAGGGGTCTGCAAGACTGATTAGTTAACAAGCACTGTTTTGCATTCACATGGTATCCTAAGTTAGGTTTCCAGGACTCAGTAGTAAGCCATAAACGCAAGATACGCATGAAAGGGTGGAAGCAACAGTGTGACTCGCACCTAATGCCTCTAATACATGGCTAGAAAGGGTGTTTTAGAAGGGACAAGAACCATGTGCCCCTTATCAAGGGTGTAGCTGTTTGGGGACCACCGGGAATAGGCTTGAGCATGAACCCGACCCGATCCGACCCGACCCGACATTGCCCTACCCGATGTCGGGTTCGGGTCGGGTCGGGTCGGAGTTCAGGAAATGTCAACCCTACCCGAACCCGACATCGGGTACTACCTGACCCGATTTCGGGTCAGGTCGGGTCGGGTTGGCATAGGGGCAGGGACGGGTAATAAGCCGACCTGACGGGAAAGGTGACCCGACTCATCAAAAAGTCGGGTTCGGGTCGGGTTACCCAACCCGACCCGACCCGTTGCTCAAGCCTAACCAGGAAATGGTCCCCAAACAGCTAAAAACAACCTGGCCCATCGTTACGGCCTCTAAAACAGCGACGGGTCCAGTAACCTGATTTTGCCCAATTAGAACCCGACCCGACCCGAAGTCGGGTTCCCCATAACCCGACCTACTAGACCCGGGTCGGGTTGACCATGCCCGACCTCTGACCCGACTTGACCCGACCCGACCGGACCCGAACCCGACTTCGGGTAGGGAAAAGTAGGGTCGGGTCGGGTTCTTGCTCATCCCTAGGTGAAATGGCTCACACGTGCAAAACATAAACAGGTTCAATTCAATGTCTATGGCTAGTAGCGCACTGCAGAACCCGCTGTACCATACCCCTCGTCATGTGCTGGAAAACCTGCTGCTGAGCCTGATTCAGGTTGTTTTTTAATCACCACGCTATCGACGCTCACCCCGGTGGCACCAGGACAAACACACCAATGGCAATAGAAGGTAAAACTGAGCTTGTTTAGGCCTTTTTTTTGGCAAGTAGCTATACCCGCTTTTAGCCTAAACCGGATCGGGTATACCCGGACCCATTAGGCGGGTATCACATTGCCCTCCTTCTAGGGCCGGGTCCGGGTAATGGTCTTAGGCATATTACCCGACCCGCACCCGACCCGAAAATACCCGACCTGAGGTCGGGAATGGCAAAACCGGTTCGGGTCGGGAAATTACCCGGTTTTGCTCATCCCTAGCTGAATATTTCAGCAGGCCTTTTTATCGAACATTTTCTCGATCGTTTTTCCAGTGATCTTAGGGGGAAAAAAACAGAGCATTTCGGATGCATTTCGCCCGCCAGATCCGCACATTTCATCTACCAAAACTCGAGATCCGGCACATTTGGGGGGGGGGGGGGATGCAAGATCCCCACTTATTATCGGCGAGCTAGATGCCAGATCCATGCATTTTTTCACTGGTTAACCAAGCCAAAACACAGCAAATCTAACCGTTTCTTTTTTTTTCCCCCTTCCGTATTATATGGCCGTTTCATTTGGTACCGTATCATACGGTTAAAAAGGAAACAAGCACGTAGCTTTGAATCTTGCTAGCTGCATGTTAATTAGACATGAACACGGGGCGAGGCGAGGATTCCTCGCCTCGATGAATTCAGCCTCGCACCTACTACGGGGCGTATCGAGGATTCCTTGTCGAGGAATTTGGGTAAAATTGGTCCTCGAAAATCGGAATTCCATACCGAATTATTTTTTCCTAGCCCCGAAGATTTTTCCCTCGTCCCGAGGCAAGGGATCCTTGCCTTGGGGGTATTTGTAAGCGGCCTAAGGCAATCATGCCCGGTACTTGGTTGGAACCCCCCTGGTTGTATACTTGAAGTGTACCGTTGGAACAAGGCTACGATTCCAATTCACCCAACAACAAGCCCCCTAGTGAATAAGCTCACACCATGCCCTGGTATCTCTTTCCAGGGATGGATCTAACCCTGTTGCTTCGAATATTGTTGCTCTCGCTGCAGCAAAGCCCATCATCATACCTCAGTTCTACTGAAAGGTACAACGG